ACCAGCACACAGACTGCTCTCTAGGCAGACAGTTCTATTCCCAGTCAGAGACTGCTGTGCTGCACTCTGGTTTGCTGGCTATCTCTGTGGTCATGCTGCTTAGGACTGCACAGTAATTTCTAAGAGGCTGTTGTGGCTAGTGGCAGGACCATACTGATCCTCAAGACTCTCTCATTTGATTCTCAGAGGTTTCTGTGATACAGGTGGTGTGGTTCTGTAGGTTGGAAGTTCCTCATCACAGAGCCAACCAGGCTAGAGCAGGATCTCAAGTGCCCTAAATTCCTTATTCTCTCTCAAGCTCTTTCTTCCCCTCCCTCTCCCTCTCCTCCTCCTTCTCTCTCTCCCCCGCCCTCCCTCAATCCCTCTCTCCCTCCCTCCTTCTCCTCTTTCCCCATCTCTCTTCCTTCCCTGCATCCCTCCCTCCATGTCTCTCTCTTCACCTCTCACTACCCCACTGCAGACAGCTGTCCTCTGAGCCTGGGCTGTGTAAAATGTGGCTACTCCGTGGCACTGAGTAGTATTTAATGTAACAGTTCTATTCAGTTCTGTTGATAGAAGGATTTATAATCTTAATTCCAAAATTTTACCAGAAAAATAAATAAATTAATTAATTAACTGGGACAGAGTCAGGTGACTGCCTGTTTTGATCAGCTCTGGCCAAAAATCCTGAGGGATATATTTATAAACATGGCTACCAGATCCAAGTCACCTTCACCCAAGTCACTGTCACCCCAGCACCCTCACCCAAGTCAAGATGTTTTTAAATGAAAAAGTCAGGGAAGATCTACTCTGGTAGGTTTGTATTTTATTACCATGATTCTGACCTTGACATCCAACCAGGCTCTGCTGTTCTACCACCAGTCTTGCTCTGCTGACTAGGGGATATTCCACCCCATGGGGACATGTCTGAAGAGCTGAACCACATCAAGAAGGCCCTATTGTGGAGGCCTTCTTCTCTCCGGAAACACATGCCACCCATCTCCAAAATGACCCAGGCTGGGCTGGCTGGGGAGCAGGTGCCTCATCCTCGACTTGCCTTTGTTCTATAGCCAACGAGGATACTCCAGAGGGGAGCCAGGAATGAGCACCTAGGTCAGAGTTTGCTGGCCTTCCTCAGGCATGAACCGCTGCTCTGTGGCTGAACCTTCAGACTATTTTTTTTTTTACCATAATGGGACACAGGATTGCTGTTTTGTTCTTGCCTTAATTCATGCTTCATATATTTATTGCATGAGTTGCAGGCCAGGCACAGAGGTGAGGCTAGGGAAATTGTGGCAAAAACCATATGGCCCCTGCTCTTGCAGGCTATTGGATAGAATGCAGGAAATTCCATGTTATGATGCCATAAAGGGGACTTGGGGAGACTCCAGGGACCAGGAGGACTTCAGGAAAGTAGGGAGCCTTTTAAAAGCTTTCTCAGGGGACTTAATTAATTTTCATTTTAAAGGAGCACTCCTCATTTTATAAGACATCCCTTGATCATGGCTCTGTATTTCCTTCTCCCACACTGCTTTAGGCTGGCTGGCAGATTGGGCATCACTGTATACCCTCGGGAGAGAGCTTGGGACTCTGGGGCTTTCTGCGTTTCCATCTGCAGGCAGCAGGTCTGGCCACTGTCAGGGAACTTAGAGCTCAGAGCAAGTGGTCATTGATTGGATTTGGAGATGCGGCATTCGAGTCCTGTCGTTATGTACTGGAAAATGAGGTCTTCACTCTCTCTGTTTTTACCATTAGCTAGACATCTTGGAAATGTTGGGGTTTAGGCTCTCCTAACAAGGAAAGGCACAGCTACAGAACTCAGCTACCTCTCCCTCTTCTCTGCAAAGATGGCTCCTCCCTATCCCCACTGCCCCCAATTCTCCCTGCTCCTCTGTCCTTGAAGGTGAACCTGGCCAAAGCACAGCCAGCATCTCCAGCCTGACAACATATTGGGGCCCTCAGCTCTTCCCAGAGGTCAGCACATGGGGGACAGGTGAGGGGTGGTGTTAGATAGGATGCAGGGTTTGGAGGTGCTCATGTCATCCTGGTACCTACTGTGAGGAAGGAACAGTTACACAGAGGTCATTTTTATTGGGGGCCCTATGTTCAAGCTTTGTCGACCTCTTTTTTTTTTTTTTTTTTTTTTTGTGGCAGCACTAAGGTTTGACTCAGGGCCTCATGCTGCTTGCTAGCAGACACTCTTACCACTTAAGCCACTCCACCAGCCCTTTTTTTGTGATTCTTTTTTTTTTATATATAGGGTCTCTCAAACTATTTGCGGGGCTGGCTTTGAACCATGATCCTCCTGATCTCTGCCTTCTGAGTAGCTGGGATTACAGGTGTGAGCCACCAGCACCCAACTGGCAGCTTGCTTCTTTAAAATCTACACTGACCCAGGCTTGACGAAGATTTATTTGGTCAATCAATGGTTGATCTGTTCAGCCAATCAAGGTGAGGGCTGTGCACAAGTTTAGCAAGTCATTTGAGTTCATTGGAATTGTCATCTGGTTTTTGCTACACAGATCAGTAAGGGACTGCCTACGTGGCAATCACTTTCCCATCTTTGTAATCCTTTAAAATAGTCTTTGATCCAATTGCTGAAGGCTGAATGTGCCAGGGACCAGTGCAAACCACACCAGTTGACTCTGCCTCCTCCCAGGCAGATGGTAGACATTTTTGCCAGGCCAATAGGAGGAGAATGCAAGACTACCCAGAAACAGGGTCTAGCTCCACAAGCAGTGCTAGTGTTCTCATGAGGAACAAGTTCGAGGATGATAACAAATCACACCCTGGTCTCTACTCCTGTTCTGAACCAGTTTGAAGAATCTGACAGGTGTGTTGATACCTGCTATTTTAAATGTACTAAAAGATTCTTCTAATGTCAGAGCTATTTCCACATAGTAAATGGGCAAGTTTTCCTCTGTGACTTGTATTATACACACAGCGCAGTCTTTTCAGCTCCCGGCTATTCTGCAAAGCTCATCTTAGAATTCCTCTCTGAGCGCCTCTGTCAAATTCCAAATCTGTCCCTACTGTAAAGTCTCTGCCATTTGCAGAAAGCCAAAGCCATCCTTGGGTCTCATTCTGAGAATGAGCCAAGAGACAGGCGTGAGTAAGAAGTGTCACTCCTGGTAGCGAGAGATGACATGCCCAGGGGTTACTGCTGCCAGGGAGTGAGGCACATCACTCTCAGAACTCAGGAATGAGTAAGAGGTTATTTAATTAAAAAGCATCTTGTGATAGTTCTGCTGTCCGCATGCTGCCACACCTCTGGAATCAGTAGTGTGCCCTGTGGCCAGCCAAAGGCATTCCTTCCACAACTTCACTGTGCATCTCCAGACAGCGACCCTCACTACCAATGGGCACATGGGTACCAGGGCCTCCTGTACAAGGCAAAGTCACAATTTAGAAATATTCTCTGGTTGTTGATCCTGGGACATCCCCAAAAAAGTTTAGTTCAGCACTCCAGGAAAGGAAATGAGAGTTGCTCACTTCTGGGGAAGGCTAACCAGTTCTCTTTGAAAGCAGAGCAGTGAACTTGTCCAGTTTGTGTTGGCTTCACTTCTACTTCCTGTTGCCACTTCCAGGTATCAGCCAGGCTGAAGGGCAAGCAAAAACAAGCAATTTTCTGCAGCAAGAACATTAGGTTTCAAAGACAAGTTGTGGAAAACATAAAGTTCTGAAAAGAAACTTTTTCTAATGCTGTATCTGATATACACAATGTAACTACAGGTGATCAATAAAAGCCGTTGGAAGTGTTAAAAAAAAAAAAGAATATTCAGTTTCTTCTCCCCTCTCCCAGCTGCAGCAGGCGGTGTGCTTGGCCTTCAGAATTCTTGCTTTGCTGTTTTAGCTGCTGCTGTCATCGGTCGGCTGCTTTGCCCGGGGATCCTGACATCCAATGGCTTATTCTTAGGGTCAGTACAGCAGAATATTCAACCACCTTCCAGAGTCTCCACTATGCCTGCCTTTCATCTGTCGGTCCTTTCTTATCATAGCAAATCAGGGTGGCACGGATTCCTAGAATTCTCTAGGTTTATTATGGAAGTGAAGAGGCAGAGAGCTCAGGGAAAAGCAGTTGGAGCAGGGGAGGGGTCACAGGCCGGTTTTTAGTTGTCATGGTCATTTTGCTTTGCTATGTCTGAGGAAAGCTGTTCAGAGTTAACAGCTATATTGTGGCATTCTTTATATACCTTAATATTCACCCACTGAACACAACTTGATGATTTTTAGAAAATTAGAGACATGTAACCATCACCATACTCCAATTTTTTTGTGAATGTTAAGATACCATTATTTTTTATTTTATTCTTATTTTTGGCAGTAATTTTAAAACATTCCCTTGATCATCCAATAGTCCTCATACCCACTTGCAGTCACTCCCCATTCCCATCCCTGGTACCAGTGAGCCACGAATCTAACTTCTGTCTCTAGTTTTACCTTTTCATGCAATATATGGTCACGTCTACTAACCATGAGGTTTTTGTTTTTTAAGTTTTGGGCAGTACTGGGGATCAGTTCCTAGGGAAGTGCTTTACCACTGATCTACATTCCCAGCCCTAAGCGTGATGTTTTAAGATTCACCCTTACTGCATGTAAGATACTTTTTATTAATAAAAATTAATAAATTTTTATTAATAAAAAATAATAAATTTTAATTTATTAAATTAATAAATTAATAAAATTTTTTAAATAAAATTTTTTTAATAAAAATTCTTTTTATTATTAAATCATATTCCATTGGATGGGTATACCATATTTTGTTTCTTTTCCATGTTTTTTAGTATTACAAAAATAGGTCTAAATTCTCACCTTTTGGGAATATTTGGTGGTGATGCATGTACCATGGGTGTGTGTGTGTGTGTGTGTGTATGTGTGTCCTTGTTCATGTGTGTATCTGACATGCAGTAAGTGATCTGAAAAGTGACTTTTAAATCTTATCTACATCGTACCTTCAAATAATTAAATGTAAAAAACCTTCAATATACTAAGTATTTAAAATATTTCTTTTTGTTTTTCAGTTCCCAAGAACATTCTCACAGCAATCGATCCAGCCATTGCTAATCTAAACCCTTCTGTGACGCAGAAAGATGGTGAATATGGTAATTTTTATGGCTGATTTCAGAATTTCTCTTTCTTGTAGAGGTAACTATCCCCATGGGCGTGGTCAAGCACACACTGCCCAGAGGCAAAGGGACATCAGGATGGGTGTGTAAGCTACTTGTTCTAGTAATGACAGTACTGTAGCTAACCATTGATTGCAAATGGCAGCCAACATTTTATTTTGTTATGATTTTTCTAAATTTAAGTAGAATAAACTTCCCTTCCATTGTCCTCTATTCTTCTTTTACTTCCTAAGAGAAAAAAATTGGTTTGCTCTGTTCAGAAATCAATTGAGTTCCTGGTTTGCACAATGAGCTTTTTGCAAAGGTGGTCCCGTCAGGAATCTGGTTGGACCAGAGCCAGTGGAGTCTGCAGTCCCCCATACATGTGCCATCTTCTTCCTCTGGCTTTCATTTGACTTTCTCAAATACAGGAATGATCATTTTCTTACCAAATCTGGAATGGAATTCAGCCTCGTGGAAAGCCTGATAGAAATGGCTTTTGGTAGCAAGAGCTTTGTCTTATATTACTTTTATTGTACTTATGAAGCTAATTACAAAAGCAAAGTGTGGGTATCCCTCTGTATCTGTGGGAAAGTGGTTCCAGGAGTCCCCACAAATACTAAAATCAACAGATGCCCAAATCTCTTATAGTAACTGGTGTAGTAATGCATAGAATCCACACTCGTGTTCCTGTACCCGGTAGAGCATGTCTAGGTGGCTTATAAGATCTAATACAATGTCAACACCTTGTATTATCACTGTATTGCCTAGGGAATATGGCAGAGAAAAAACTCCATACGTGTCCAATACAGACATATTTTTTGAGTGTTTCTGACCTGTGGTTGATTGAATCTATGGATGTAGAGCCCTGAGATAAAGAGATACAGAGTGACGACTCCATACTTTTGTATTTATTGCTTGATTTGGAAACCACTAAGAAATTAAATCACCTCTAGTCCCAAGCTAGATAACTACTGGTATCATTCTAGTTTACCCCCTGGCTTTCTGCCTGAGTCTGCATCTCAGTCCCACTTCTCTTTCTGACCTGGCTCCCATGTGACCCCATGAATATTCTGGTCCCCCTGCAGTGGGGTCCTGAGAGTTCTGTGCCATCTTTCCCAGAGGCATCTGCCCTATCTGACATTCCCAGAGGTCCCAGGCTCCCAAACTGCCCCATCATCACTTACTCACTCCATCCAACAGGTCACCAGCATCAGAAAGTAGATCACATGTTTCTGTCACATCCACAAAAGCAGACCTGCACTGCCTCCCTCTATACTCCAAGGTTTGTCTTATCTCTGGCCCACAGAGTAGGCAGCAGCTGTGTGGGTAAAATGACATGGTGTTTGTGAAGCCTCCAAGAGGCAGGATGAGTGTCATCGCCTTTGGGATGGGAAAGTAAGTTTGTTCCTTCTGCAGCCACACTGATGTAGGAACCAACACGTTAAAATTTGAAATCTCAATCCCTTTTATCATTTAGTAACTTTTATCATTTAGTAACTGCTTACTAAGCACTATTCCTGGCTTAGCCTTCCATAGTTTAGTCAGAGGCCCATTTGTTTGGTGTCTGTGACTTTTATTTATTGTGGCAGTCCTGGGCAGGGACCAGCAGGGGTATCTTAGTTCAGACATACTGTCAATAGCTCTGATGAATTGCTTTTGCATATTTTATGAAACAGGTATAAACTCTGACCCAAGCGGATCGAGGGTTCTGCAGAAAGACGGGGTTATTGTTAGCAACTCTCTGGCAGCATTCGCTTACATTAGAGGTACGTCCATGAACTGAAGTTTCCAGAATGCTAACTAACAGATTCATAAAGCCTTATTAACAAATGCATTGTTCAATTATGCCACTCAGATAACTAAAGAAAAATGACTTTTGATTTGGCCTGACAACTGTGGTGTTCCAAGACCCAGAAACACAGAAGCTCAAGTTCAAGTACAACAGCAACCAGGCAACCCACACAAGTGAGCCTCAAACATAAAGTCACACTATTTGGGTTGGGCTCCACAGGTATTTTTACCCCCTTGAAAAGTAGGAATGCATTTCCTAGGTCCAATAATTTGAGAAAGGCCCGGTATTATTGAATTCCACCCCCGGCTGGAAGGAAAATGAGGCAGGTCACATAGTAAATAAAATAAGTCATGTTCTAAGAAGGCAGAGTCGCTTTTGGAGTCTCAATTGTTACCTCTCATGGTTGTCAAAAGCCTTCCCTTGTTAATCTTCCCTGTAAGGATTGATTAGACTCAGTCTTCCTGAACTGGCAGGGCCAAAGGCTTTCACAGAGCTGGCCATGTCGCAGCTCCTCTTTGGGGAGGGACCATCAATCTCCCCTGCCATCTTCTCTGCTTATCTATCTTGGAAGGTTGACTGCAGGCTTCCACAGTGCCCTCTGGCCTGCCTGTTCAAGAAGGCTGTGTACCTTGGCCCTCCATCCCCATCACCAATACTGACACAGGCTACTTATGAAATAGGGAGAGGTGAGTTTGGCTCTGGATGGTTCTGTACGGTCAAGTTTAAGATTGGGTGGCCACACCAGTTTGGGCCTCTGATAAGGGAGGCAAATTGTGGCAGGAGCACCTGTCAGAGTGAGTAGTCACTTGAGGCAGAGCAGAGAGACAAGAAGAAAGACTAGGATTCCATAATCCCCTGGAAGGAGATGTTCCAATGACCTAAAGACCTTCCCCTAGGCCCCACCTCTTAAAGGTTCACAGCACCTCCCAAAGGTGCTACACTGAGGACTAAACTTTTACATATCAAAGGGGACACTCATCTAAACTATAGCAGAGGCCAAAACCTTTGACAAAATATACATTAATATAATTCATAAGAGTATATATTCAAGGCCTGCCGATGCTAGGACTGTATACCCCCGAGGGAAATAGAGGCCTAAGGAAGCATCTGTGGTGACAAGAACTTGGCCCTGACACTCTGTGGTTGCCTCATCTCACCACATCAGTATTTCTCCTGTGGGTTGTCATGTGGCCGGGGGTTATTTTATAACTACCCTCCCATTTCTGTGCCTTGCTGCTCCTGGTAACTGTCAAGGTCAAGAAATGTAAAGATTTTTATTGTCAGAAAGAGTCCCATATTCTCAAAGTCCCCAGACAGCCCCTTGGAGAAAGGGCAGCATGAAGTTCCTTCAAACAGAAGGTAGCTATGGAAGAGAAGCTGTGACATCACTTGCTGAGCTGCATCCATGCTGTGCGCTCTGCTGCAGGGCCTGATCGTAATCTCTCCACAGTCGCCTTGGTTGGCTTGGGCTTCTGAACAAAATACCGCAGACTGGGGATCAGACAACAAACATCTATTTTCTCGCGGTTCTGGAGGCTGGAAGTCCATGAGCAAGCTGCCAGCTGATTCTGTTTCCCATGAGGGCTGTCTTCCTGTCTTGCAGACAGCTGCCTTCTTGCTGTGTCCTCACATGACAAAGAAAGGGAGAAAGACAAAAAAAAGAGGGATGACAGGAGAGAGAGAGAGAGAGAGAACCTCTTCTCATAAAGCCAACAATCCTATCAGATTGACCTTGTTCTACCTTATTCAGCTCCCAAAAGCCCACCTCCACATACAGGCGCACTGTGGGTTAGGACGTCACTGCATAATTTGGAAACACACAGTTCAGGCCAGCCCTGACACTGATGCCTAATCTGTACTTGAAGATGCTCAGGGATAAAAGAACGGAGCCATTTGCCAAGGACACCATGGACAGTGGCAGGGCCAGGACTCACACTGCCAACAACAAGGATGTCACTGGCTTCTGTGAGCAAGAAGTTTGTCGTTTGGGATTTGGAGGCAGTTGTCTGTCCTTACACCACTCCCAGAAATCACTGGATGAGTTTATTTGCACCGTGCTGATCTAAGCACAAGGAGACTAAACTCCTAAGGGCAGGCGTTTGTTACCACGTTCACTGTGCTTTCCCTGTGTGTAGGACAACGCCGATGCAGAATAGGAGCACAGATGATCACATTCTGAGCCCTGAGCTGATTTTATGGCTGTCCTGTGCCTTGATATCACCCAGGATTTGCTATTTATAGATACTTTATTAATGGGAGGGCTTGCTGGGCTGTTATTTGGCTTTATGGAGGGACGTTGAGGCACATTCAGCAAACCCCAGCAAAGCCTAGCTGTAACGTCCAAGTCAAAAACAGTTACGAATGCATGGCATTGGACGTTGGTCAAATGAAGTCATCACAAGATACTCATGGCCCAAATCACAGAGGCTTGTGAGGGTCCTAGTGGGACAGGTGCCACTGTGCTTGCCTATGTCACTCTTCAACTGGCCACCCTAGGTGTGGGCAGTAGTGGTCCTGGCCCATAGACCATGCCCTGTGGTGCATCAGATCAAGTCAGGTGAACCTAAGCAGACAATGGGCCAACAGCAAGCATCACACAGAGCTGAGTGCCATCCTCACCGATGCTGGGAAGAGGTGATCAGCCAACTTTCAGGTACATCCCTGGCCCTACTGTGGGGGTGTGGCCCAAGGGCTGCACAGAGGTCCCTGGACACCACCTGAAGGAGAGGCCACTCATGGGAGTAGCTAGGAACCAAGAGCAACCAGGGAAGGTTCTTGCCCAAACCAGCCAAATAGTTGGTGCACTGAGTGAATCCTGAAGTTCGGGCTGCAGGTGCACGCCTTATTCAATCAGGTATCCATGGGGACAAGTGAACAGGAGGCCAAAACAAGGAACTTGTCCTCGGCTAGGAAAGCATAGAGGTTGGTGGAAGGGCAGCAGAAGGTTCAGGTTCCCCAACAAACTGTTTCTCCTGTGGCCATTTGAGTGAGAGACCTGTGAGGTGGTTTTTCCCAACACAGGGAAGGGTGTGTGTGTGTGTGTGTGTGTGTGTGTGTGTGAGAGAGAGAGAGAGAGAGAGAGAGAGAGAGAGAGAGAGGGAAGGAAGGCAGTTTGCTAGCAGGCTCAGCATGAGCCATTGTCCCCTGGCAGATTGTGCCTGAAGGGACTTATTTATTTAGACAGTCTGGCCTCAGAGCATGACCCCTCTCAGTCTGCCTAATTAGTGTTTTATTGGCATCTGGCGTTGTGGTGCTTACCTCATCTGTGTCCGCAGACATGCTTTTTGTGGCCCAATATTTCCGTCTCTGCTCTTATCTCTTGGGACTGTGGCAAGTGTGTGACTTTAGCCCTCTGGCAGACCCTGCCGTGGACTTTGGGGGCACACGGGGCAACTGGATCACAGGAGAGGAAGGCGAGCCAGAAGGGACAGGCTCACTGCCTCTCCTGAGCTGAGGAGGTGGCATTGTTCCCTATGAAAGGGACCCTAGGATATCAGACAATCCCATGTGAAGTGGAAGTTTAATATAACACATTCCAGAGTCACAGTTCTGTGCTCCCCTGCCGGGGAGGTCAATCAGAAATCAGCACTGATTTGTCACATAGGTATGGGCACTGATGTGTTCCCATGGTCTCTAACCTTCAGTTCCATGATAGAAAGCTGCTGTCACATGCATAAGTGCTGTCAGACCAGGCTTGGGACACTTTGAGCTTCCTCCTGGAGGACCCTGGCTCTGTCTGTTGCCTGACTCTTCCTGAAAGCAGCATGTCCCCAGGAAATGGGACCTTCACCATGGCTCCTGGTATCTTATCTAGACATGATAAATTTGAGCTGGAGCTTATATTGGCCCTGGACCAGAATCTAAAGAGTGAATGGGTCCTTAAAGGCCATTGGCCACCATTCTTAGGCTCCCATGAGTACAATACAGGTGGTAAAATGAAAGTCATTCACTCTTGCCTGTGATGAACTAAGGCTAAACTTAGACCAATACCAACAAAAACACAGTATGAAGACTTTTCAACCCAACAAGAAGAAAGCCTTGATTTTTACAAAGGATGTGATAGAAAAGGGGTCACAGACTGGGTGCCAGTGGCTCACACCTGTAATCCTAGATACTTAGGAAGCAAAGATCAGGAGGATCACAGTTTGAAGCCAGCTAGGCAAATAGTTCACGAGACCCTATCTTGGAAAGATCCCATCACAAAAAAAAAGAGGGGTTGGTGGAGTGGCTGAAGGTGTGTAGGCTCTGAGTTCAAACCCCAGTACCGCAGAAAAAATAAAAAGGAAAGGGACCACAGAACCTAAAGTAGTCTTATTGCTTCTAGGAGAAAGATGAAGTGCTTTTTATATAAAGCCTGGGGCTGCATAGAGAGCCCTAGCCTGAGCCTGATGTTCATGCCAATGGTAGCCTTGGACAAGTGTGTCAGGCTACAACAGGAGGGATTAGGTTAGCTTGTCTGTAAGGTTCCGCCTGTGTTACCCAATGATCGTATGACTTTAAGCTGGTCAGTTCAGTTGACTTGGAAGCCTCACTCCCATGGCCTTGCCAAGAGTTGCTCACTTTTCCTTCTTTGGCCACTGGAGTGGCAAAGTGGAGTTGAAGTAGAATTGCCCTAGAGAGAGGTCCTGTGGCAGGAGGTGGGCCCGAACCAAAAGGCACTTAGGATCTTTTGAGGGAGCTCTCCTGGCAGTAGAACACAAACCACTCTCAGGAGATGAGGGAGAGGGGAGCTGACTTCATGGAGCCCCATCCACAAGGCACCAAGCCTAGTGCTCAGTCCATTATCCTCTACCCTAGACAAGTGCAGGATGAGGAGGGAAGGAGAAAGGGAGGAGGGAGGAAGGAAGAAAGAAGGAAGGAAGGAAGGAAAGAAGGAAGGAAGGAAGGGGAAAAAAGGGAAAGGAAGGAAGGCCAAAGACGCTGAGCTAGGAAGCCACCTGACACATCTGCAGAATGGAAAGGCCACTGCAAAAGAGCAGAAGAGTGAAGGGAAAGACTCCTGGGAGCTGAGCTTAGGGAAGGTGGCAAGCTTTGGAGGTTGTGGTCACTCTCCAGGATACAGTCACAGAATACATGCTGTCAAGGGATGATCATCAAGGATGTATAGAACACATACATGTTAGTCATACGTTGAAGGGAAATGCAAAGAAGTCGATAGAAAAACAAAAGGACAAAGACACGAGCCAGCATTTGGAGAAAAGAAGATGTCTAAGCGTGTGAAGAAACATATGCATAATTTGTAATCAGGGAAGGACAAATCAGGACCACGATAAGATCCAATTCTGTACCATGTCACTGGAAAAATTTAAAAAGTCTGTCCAGAGCAAGGCTGGAGAAGGCAAGGGCTCGTGGGACTTTTTACACATCACCATTTTGAAAAACAGTATTTCCTAAAATTAAAATCCAACACCCTAAGCCCATCCAGTTACCTCCTAGGGCAGGTACACTCTTGCAGTTGTCTATAAGACTGTTCACACTAGCCAAAACCTGGCAATAACCAAGCTGCCTGTCATCAGGAGAATGAGCAAACTCCCCAACACTCCAGGCTGTGGAATACAATACAGCCATAAGGGAAAAAGATGAAAACACCAAGCCCCAAACACTATCTGTAACATTATGCCCTTATAATAAAGTTTTGAGGAACATATAAAGGTACAAACAAATTATATAAAAAGGCAAGAAGAGTAGTAACGACTACCGTCATGTTGTGATCCCCTACTGAGAGAAGGAGGAGAGGAAGATAGAGTACCATGGTTAGACACAGGTTGTACCGAGCCCATCAGTCCCATGCAGGAAAATTATTCATTGCACAAATAATGAAAGTAATTAAGTAAATAAATATCAAGGAGGACCAATAAGTAGAATACATTGTGTCCTAAGGATTACGCCTAATTTAATTCATTGATCTAAAAATCCTTAAAAACAAGTAAAGAGGTACAGTAGCAAGTCCCTTTTGTGACACAGCCAGTTCTTGAACCTGACTTCGCCCCAAGGAGCTGGTCCCTCACTGTGCCACTCCTTGGACAGTAGGGGAGCCAAATGCTCACTGTTCCCTAAAAGCTAGACCAGATGGAATTTCCTTTGCCCAGAACTAGCCACATCCTAACCGTGGGCGCCTCAAAAAGGACACCAGTGGCTGGAGTCAGTCTTCGTCCCACTCAGCAGCAGTGTTGCTGATGTCAGGGCTCATGGGTTGCATTTTCCAAGGAGGAGGAGCTGAGCCATGGCTGCATGGAATGCCAGTGTCAAGCACCACAGAAGGGAAGGGACTGGGGAGGACAGGGCCTCAAAGGTTTGAGGTGGGGAGCCAGAAGAGGAAGGCAGGAGGATTCTAAGGGAAGGAGAGAGTTTTAGTTCATTTCCTATTACCAACGCCCCAGACTGGGAGAGTTATAAAGGAAGAGGTTTGTTTTGGCTCAAGGTCCTAAGAGATTCAAGGTCAAAGGTCTGCATTTGATGATGGCTTTCTTGCTGGTACAGTCCCAAGGCAGCAAGGAGAGACAGGAGTGCCTGTGCATGCATGTGTGTGTCTGGTCTCCCTCCTCCTGCTAATAAAGCCACCAGGATTCAATCGTGAGGCTCACCCCAATGATCTTGTCAAAACCTAATCACATCCCAAAGGCCCCACCTCCAAACACCATAGCTGGATTAAGGAAGACACTGTGGGGAGACTCGAACTCTATCCAACCATAGCAGATGGTGAGAGTGAGACTGGGACAGACAGGCTCTGATCTGCAGGACAGAAGGAGAAAAGATTGGCTCTCCATCAGACATCTTTTTTGGATTACTGTCAATGACTTTGCCCCACGTGACAGGGTCTCCACTTGTCCAGTCTGGCACCACTCCCAGAAATGAAGAAACCTTTCTTGCACACAGGACACACAGCTCTATTTGAGGTCTACACTCTTGACTCTTGGGGGGAAGTTGGAAGGGAATTTTTCCTAATAGCACTGCTGACACACCCTGTGTCCTGTCCCTGGCCAAAATTAACGTTGTATTCTGACATCTGTGTCTTTAAGAGCGTGAGGAGATGGTCCCGGTGGCCACAAAGAGCCACAAGCAGGGCCCAGCGACTCCTGAGTTGGCCTGAGCACACGGAAGGAAGGGGACTGGGGAGGTATAGAGTTTCAAGAAGATAAGGCGTCCCAGTTTCTTCTCTGGTCAGACTGTCTGTGAAACTTAGCAGGCCTGGAGTTTGAAAGTCTGTCTGACCTCTGGGGAAGGACAGTGCTGGGACAACAGTCTGCATCATTCACCTGGATAAAGGAGCGCCGATGTGCCTAGAGAGGGTGTCCACTCGGGTGAGGCACTGAGGAAATACCAGGTGTGCCGTGTGCACCCCACAGGCACTCTCTGCTCAAGATCTGGGTTCCAGTCCTGGCTCTGCCTGAAGAGGCTGCCAACCTCCAGCAGCAGCTGCTCCCGGGGGTCCTCAGCTTGAGGATCTATATGGGGGTGGGTGGCAAGCTAAGGCCTGGGGCCCAAATCTACAAATAAAGTTTTATTGAGACTCAGTCATGCCTTGTGCCTTACGCATTTCTATGGCTGCCTTTGTTCTTCACCAGCACAGCCTGCTGTTTGTAACAGAGACCATCTAGCCCAGAAAGCCTAAAATATTGACTGTCTGGTCATTTGCTGGAGGGGTTTGCCAGGTCCTGATGCATGGTATGAGAGAGTTTACTGGGTCATTTCCCAGAACAGAAGTGCCAGGATCCCAAGTGGTGCCATAAAGCAGAGATAATGAGAGTTAAAAAAAGTAAAATAGCTCTGCCCACCAGGCTAATGTGAAGACTAAGCAAATGTGAGACTGTGGCACGTAGTTCATAGTGGCATTCTTTTTATTTCTATTACTAGATAGAAAATCCTTGTGGGCCGGGAGCCAGTGGCTCATGCCTGTAATTCCAGCTACTCAGGAGGCAGAGATCAGGAGGATCATGGCTTGAAGCCAGTCCCGCCCAAACATAAAAAAGAGCTGGTGGAGTGGCTTAAGTGGTAGAGTACCTGCCTAGCAAGCAGGAGGTCCTGAGTTCAAAACCCCATCCTGCCAAAAAAAAAAAAAATCCTTGGGGGTGCACGCAAAGTTACTGAAACTTTTTTTTAACCTAAAGAAAAAGTTCTGATAGCCTGTATCACAGTATAACTTATGTTCATGTATGTACTTTGTACATAAATTAATTCTTCATAACTTACTTTATTGAGCATTTCCTACGAGTCGATGAGTATCCAAAGAGGTTTACCGGAACGAGCTCATTTCATTTCACTATACAACTCTGTAATAAGCAGGTACTATTAGCCCCATTGCACAGATGCAGCAACTGAGGCGCTCACACCACTAGTGAGTGGCAGGTCTGAATTTAAACCAGGGGATCTGGCTCCTGAGTCCTTTTGCCATGCGTCCTCTCCTGTAGGTACATGTGTCACCTGTCTGCAAAAACTGTCTTTGTTAACCACGGGAATAGGATCAGTTAGGTGTGGATGGTCCGATGATGCTGTCCAGGACTGGACAGACATCTGGTCCTGTGGGACTGGCACTGGGGGAGAGTGACAGTCCCCCAGCTCCTGACGTGTTCTCTTGCTCCCTCAGCCCACCCCGAGAGAGCTGCCCTGCTGTTCGTGTCCAGCGTCTGCGTTGGCCTGGTCCTCACACTGTGTGCCCTGGTCATCAGAGTGTCCTGCACCAAAGACTTCCAGGAGCTGCAGCGGGGAAGGGAGCAGCTGGTGCCAGGAAGTGAGGAGGCCGCGGAGGACAGCGAGGAGGACGTGGAGGAGGACTCCTCTGACGCTGAGCTCCCCAGGGAGTCGCTGGAGGTTTGTAGGACTTCGTATCCAGCCTACAGCTCCGTCGAGGCCGCGGAGCTGGCCGAGAGGATTGAGCGCAGGGAGCAAATCATTCAGGAAATATGGATGAACAGTGGCCTGGACACCTCGCTCCCGAGAGACATGGGCCATTTCTACTGAGCCACGTGCGTGGGACACCATCACCCTTCCTGAAGAGGCAAGGGTCCAAGATGCCCCTCTGGTTCTGTCCCATTTGTACCTTCTGTGAAGGAGAATTTGTCACGTCATCCAAGACTGGTGACGTCAGAGAGCTATCAAAGGCACATTTCAAACTGTTTACAGCACATCCCGAAATAAATTAGGAGGGAAGAAGTCTCTGTGGTCTTTACTTCTTTGAATTCATACATTAACGATCCCATGCCTAATGAGAGCTCACACTTATGAAGCACTTAGAATGCTAGCTACTCTCCTCGCTGCTTTTCAGGTACTAAGTCATTTAGTCTTAACAACAACTTCATGAGATAATACTGTTATGCCCATTTTACAGATGAGCAAACCGAGGGTCCACAGATACACTAAGCCCACCTCACTCCAGATTTATTATGCACAGTTTTGACCAAGTGCGGTCAAAACTTATAACAAATAAAGACATTTCAAAGATAAATATTATAAGTTCTCACACATGCATCCCACAGTTCAGTGGATACAGGGAAGCTGTCAGTCAGTCTCGAGTTATCATCAGTTGTGTTTAAATCATTGTCTGATCTGCTCAGTGTTTCCCTTCCCTTAATTTTGTGAAAATACGGTATGCCTCCCAGAAAGCAAATGGTGACCAAAAAGCAAAGTAAAAGTGAATGTGTTTAATAGAAGTGATAAAGTGAAACTTTGAGATTTGCTGAAAGGCGGCATGTCTTTAACAGAAGTTAAAATCCGTGCATTCTGAGCATGCAGTTTGTCCTCAAGGACGGTCTCCTTGGAACACGGTATCCACGGGTGACAAGGATCCACTGTACCTGCAAAAAATTAGACTGATACTCAGGACAGCAAGTCCTCACGAGTGATTCTCAAATGTTTCCATTACTGTTTTGAGACAGAGTCTCTTTATGTAGCCCAGGCTGGTCTCAAACCTTGTTATCCTCCTGCCTCAGCCTCCCAAGCACAGGATTACAGATGAACACCACTACACCCAGTTCATGAGTGATTTTAATTCTTAACGTTATATGTTCAGAGCCTAGAAGTCCTGAGGCATTTCAGTCTTTACCCAAACCCCCTGCCTGTCCATACGACACCTCTATGTGACAGCCCTGTTGGCCAGTCCCTGCCCTCTTTCTGCACTGATGGTGGCAAAAGGAGGGCCGGAAGTAGGGATGTCACTCTAACTCACCCTGGCTTCCTCCTCTCTTCCACTGAATGGGAACCACAGGATTGCTCTGCAGTTCTGTCTCTAGCTGCATTGTTGGTAAAATACCATCCATACCTGTCTACAACACACTATTCACAACAGTTGAAACAACACAACATCACTGCCTGATGACTGGAGAAACAAATTGTGGTGTACACATATAATGGAATATGATTTAGCCATTAAAAAGGTGGGAACGAACCTGGAAGTTATTCCATGAAGCCACAAAAGACTCCATGGCCTGTGATCCCACATGACGGGAACTATCCAGAAAAGAGAGCTCCATAAAGAGAAAGCCAACTGGTGGTGGTCTCTATTTCTAGTTCTCACAGTTTCTTCTCTGGCTCCTTGAACATAAGTGTTGTCAATCTTGGAGGTGGCAAAAGGTGTCTGTTCATTCATTTTAGCCATTGGAGAAAGAGCTGTGCCCACACTGAGCCCTTATGAGTCTCCCTGCCACCTCCTAATCCGCCCCCCATACACATGTTTTCCTCCCAGGACCCCTGCAGGGGAAGCTGGACGACACCTGCCAAGGGAGGGTCAGCCTTGGTCTGTGCAAATACAGCAAGCTTTTTATTTGCATTTTCTGAACCCAAAGAAGAATACCACGTTCTTCTCATGGAAGGAGCCTGCAGGGTCTTGCCTGGAGTGTGTTTGGATGGGCACAAAGCCCAGGAGGAAAATGACCAAATCAGATTCGGATGAGGGGCTTCCATTGGACCATGGGGGCCGGGAGGAAGCTCCCAGGTAGACATCCACCCAGGGAGCTCGGGGCGCACACAGGCTGCTGCTTCTTGGTGGCTGTGTACGTCATCTTGGAGACAGAGTCCCTGCTGCCTCCAAGCTGTGGGATCCCAGAAGTCCTGTGAAAAGAGGCCAACCCTTGCTGGGAGGTCTGCACACGTCACTCCCTTGGTGACTCATTGCCAAGGCCGACTTCCAAGACGCCAGCCACCTGCTGTCCAGTTGCTTTTCTGGATTCACCCAAGCTTGTCAGAGGGGCTGCTGAGGCTTTGTGGACTCCATGGTGTTTCCTGCTGCTTCAGGGACACGCAGGGCACATCCAGGGACCTGCAGGTTTTGGGGAGCCCTCCAGGCAACCCCAGTGCTGACCCACAAATGGAGCAGTGTGTGATGCTGGTGCTCACCCAGATCTCCTTTTCCAAGCTGGGCATCCAGCCCCAGCTGCCAAGGCATGGCGGTGAATGGCCACCCCATGTTCTCACAAGAATTTAGAGAGAGAGAGAGAGAGCGCCACAATAAATCCCTTCTGCAAGGTCTCCACCTGTGGACACTCAAGTGTCCAGTGGGAGGGGTCTGTGGCCTGAGGTGCATGCCATTCCCGCTGGCACTGTCACTAAAGGAACACCAAGGACCCTTCTGTCTAGTAAAAGACACCAGGGAGGCTGATGCTGGTGGCCACAACTGTAATCCTTGCTACTCAGGAGGCAGAGATCAGGAGGATCGAGGTTCAAACCCAGCCCGGGCAAACAGTTTGAGAGACCCTATCTCGAAAATACCCAACACACACACACACACACACACAAATAAGACTGGCAGAGTAGCTCAAGTGGTAGAGCGTTTACATGGCAAGTGTAAGGCCCTGAGTTCAAACCCCAGTACCACCAAAAGAGAGAGAGAGAGAGAGATGCCAGGAAGTCAGCAATCTGCCTACCTGATATCTGGTGAGTCTCAGGAAACAGGTCCCCAAAGATCCTCCTTACAAGTTACTCCATCTTCTCCAGGGGTCCCTGGCAACCTGTTCCAGGTCACCTGGGGAACCAAATTCTGGTGCTGGGACTTACTGGGGAAGCCAGGGAGCTGAGCAAGTGAGTCTTAGTTCACTGTTTGTTGCTGTAACAAAATACCTGGGATTGGGGAATTTATAAAAAGTAAAGGTTTATTTTGACCTGCAGTTCTGGAGGTCCAAGAGCATGGTATGGGCATCTGTTTTGCCCCTGGAGAGGGCCACACGCTGCTCACTGCAGTGGACATGCGGCAGGGGGAGCAGGTGCTTGCAGAAGAGGTTACATTCCAGAGAGGAAGCAGGAGAAAGCTGAGGAAGTCAAATGCCGTCATCACAGCAGCTGTCATGATAACTAACCACTCCCAAGGGCACTACATCAATTCCTTCATGAGGTGGAGCCCCCCCAGCTGCCCCAGCTAATTACCTCTTAAAGCTTCCACCACCTCTCCATGCAGTTACACTGGGGACCCGGTCTCCAACACATGAGTTTTAGGGTACAGACCATATTCACACCATGAAGCAAGCTTCTTATCCACTTTCCTGGGCTTGAGTTGCTCCCCGAAGCCCACATTATGTAGCAAGACCTCCCAAGACACGCCACTCCCCTGTGGCTTCTGCCCCTCACCCCAAAATCCCTGAAAAACCAGTGCAACCAGACCGGACATGACTCTGCCTGCTGGGTTGTTTTGTCTCCTAGCTTCTGCATGACTCGGTCTTAGCTCAGTCTTGGGGGAAACCCATCTGTGCCTCAGTTTCCTCTGCTGTAAAATGACAGAATGATACTATCTAGTTCTGGTGGTGTTGAGGGTGACAGGGCTTTGCTCGTAAGAACAACAGCAATACATTTAAGATTTCATCATCCAAAGGGGGGAGAATTGACTCAAACAGTGTATGCACATATGAATAAAATAAAAATTTAAAAAAGAAAAAAAGATTTCATCATCCATGACTTCTTCCTCCCGAGAGGCAGCATCGGGCCTACATATGGTGTGGCCAAGACTGAGCCGTGTGGACCACACAACAGCGTCATAAGAAAAGTCGTTCGTGGAGACAACAGAGCAGGCTCCTAATGCCTTGTTATGGGGAAGAGTTTGCAGGGGACAAGTGGCTTTGCCTGCAGAGCTCAGAGGAAGGCATCCAGGCCTGAATATCCTTGGATTCTGTGCTCAAGTCCACTGTAAAGTCTCCCACACATGGACTTCAGAGGCTGTGCCCAATTTTGGCAGGGTAGTTACAACCAGGAACTGTGGTCATTTGGTTCGAAGGAGCCCATTGTTAGCCTGACCACCATGCAGAGTTGGCCAAACTCCACCCAAGTCTGGACGGAAGCTTTGGAGATTAAATCCTGCATGCCCTGTCGTCCGGAAGCCACCCTGGTCCACAGCTGAAAAGAAGCATGGCAGCTATTCCCGTGAGAGGGAATTTAGGAAGCCAGCTAATCCCCTGGGACCACCACTTCCCTTTTAGGAATTTCAAATTAACAGGCACCAACTCTGGGCCCCTGCCCAGAAAGGAATGAGTCAGGTGTCTAATCACAGATACTGATAAGGTGGGTCTGTACCATCCAGTATGGCGCACTGGCCACAAGCTGTTATTTAAATCCAAATTTTTAACTCATTAATAGGACTGGGATGTAGCTCACTGGTAGAGAGCTGGTGAGGCCCTGGATTCAATTAATAATTAATAAGCATTTAATAATAATAATAATAAAAGTCAGCTTCTTCATTTCATTAGTCACATTTTAAGTACTCAGTGGCCACGTGGCCAGTCTTGGATAGCTCTTCAGGCAAGGCTGTGCTAGCGTGTTAAGTCAGACACAGAGACACACCTGTCCAACTCACAGTGACAAAATGGAGCAGTGCCTCGCCCACCAGTAATTACACATAAAAATCCCAGGAATGGAAATATGGGACTCCCACCTCTACTTACCATTCTAGGACATCCCCACATGGCCTGTCTCCTGGCCCTGAGGCCTTGGCATCCAGGCCTAAGGAGATGCCTCCATGGCCTCTGGAGTCTGGAGTCACGTTCCCTCTCCTTCCCCAGCCAAAGACTGTCATTGGCTCCTTTCTGCTCTGCAACACCCAGCCTGGCCCTTGTCCTGAGTCCCCTGCTGCCACCAGCACTTCCTGGGGCATGTTGGTTGCTGTCATCTCCCCTTCCTGAGTCCCCTGAAAAGATTGTGAGAACCTATCAGAACCAAGGAACCTCTTTTCTCCCCAGCCCATAGCCATCTGTT